AAAAAAAGGATACTATTTCAAAACAAACAATTCACTGAAGAATACCAACAAAGTAATGTTGAAAAAATCATTAGAGATAGAACAAGCAGTTGAGATAAAAAGTGATAAAGTACGAAGAACAGTATCTTATTTTCTATAAACAACGCAACAAACTCGTCTAAAACTATTAAGAAAGTATTATTGAACAAAAATATTTGTCAATTAAAACAAACAAACATAATAAATCTTAATTGCTATATTTCCTTTTATGTATTTTATTGTGTATTATAACATTGTGAAACAATAAATGAGACAATAGTCATAATGAGAAAAAATACATTCATAAATAAATTAAATTAAATTAAAACGAAATAACAACTAAATAATAATATTGATAAAAAATATATATAAATAAAATAAACTTGGAGATAGATAAGGTAAAAACCTTATATATACACATATATTTATATATACCCTCCTAGCCTATTAACAATCGGCCAAGAAAAATCCAAACCAGGCTTGTTCCTCCACCTGTGAAAGGAAAAGCAGAACTCGAGGAGAACCCTGCGCTATTCTCTCAACAGTATCGCAAGTACCAAAAACTAGTGGAGATTGAACAAGAACCTTATAGATTTAGAGCTATACAACAGTCTTGAGTGGAGAATTTGTTTAGTGCCGGTACTCCATACTGTCATTAAAACAGAGGTTTTGCATCTCTGCAAATAACACGGATCGTTTGGAATGTTCTCTTTACATCACTTGAAAATGATCATTAATAACCAATACATTTAAGAAGGTTTTATAGGAGTTGAAGTTTATTTTTCTTTTCCTTAAAAAATTATACTATAAGCATTTTTGAATTTTTGCAGGTACACTGCCGAAATGTTATTTCTAGAGCTAAAAAGACAGTGACCATTGTAGTTCACTCACGTCACAACAGAACTACTTAAAAAAAAAAAAAACTAATTGAGTTGGCTAAAAAGATCGCTGGGACCTGCCGGACTAGTTTCCTGCATTTTGACATTATCTAGACAATTTTAAGTTTATAAAATAGCATTGGAAAGTTAAGAAATAAAGAACTGTTAAAATAACGACTGTTTTTTTTCCCTAATAAAACATATGACAGAACGAAATAAAAAATCTATACAGAGTTATAAATAGATTTTTTTTTTTTGTAAACTATGTACTCAGGAGCTCTTTCTAACAGCTAAAATTGAAAAAAATAATGCTTCCTAGCTGGTTTTATTGTAGTATCACCTTAACTTGTACAACCTAGGAAACAGACTTCTATGACCCTCCAGCAGAAGCCAGATTTTTCGCCAAACGTTAATCGGTGATTCACATGAATATTGTTCATCAGCGGACCATTCTTCAGAATCTAGCGGGTCCAATTCCATGGGCGGATCAGGCATGAGAACAATAATCGAGTTATCGCTATAGATATCCGGAGAACTGACACGAATAATAGGAAAGTGGTCAAGAATTAAAGGTCTTTCTAATTCCTCAAGCTTTCTTATAAAATATTCTGCTTCCCTAGATTTCCATTCAAAAAGCTTCTTCTTTTCGGCGTCATCCATTGTGGAAATATATTGTCATCCAGAGCAAAAAGCTCGAATCCTTTTCTTTTTCATAGTGGGATCGAATGAATTGAAAATAGGGAAGAAAAACCATTCAGTGAGTTGGAAAGCATCATTGGTTTCAACCAGATGACAGTAATGGTGAGTCAAGATGAATACATTCCTTCGGAAATTTTGAGCATTATAGTAGTTTAACTTATTCAAACACCGAAGAATCAAAGGAACCAGCAAGGAAGCATTTTCATCATGGACCACGATAATCAAACAAATATCGTATACATAACACATTTTTATTGTAAAATATTGCAAAACATGTGTTTAGTTAGAAAATTAATCATTTAATAAGGTCTTTCAGTAGTTATGTTAAGGGGACCGGATAGTAATGTCGTTTCTGAGCATATCACTATCTGATTGTCATTTGACAGCTCATTGTGTACATCTAAGCTGTGGCAAAGACATGTTAAGGTTATATCATAATTAATTTTTTTTTTTTTCTAATTTTGGCCTGTCAAATACCAGAAGACGTACATATCCGCCATTACATGCCTTGTGACTTTCGCAAGGATAGTAATGCAACAGTTGCTACCAAAAACATTTGGGATGTTTATCCAAATGCATTATACGTTCGTAAATGCCAAAGGTTGTTTTTCAAATTCGAATCCGGTAATTTTGATCTTTCAAACTCGTATCGATCAGGAAGACCAACAAAGTTAGATAATGACGTGTTAAGGGCGGAAGTTGGAAGCAAATCCAGGTCAGACAATCGCGGAATGCCAAATAGTCTTAGACAACCTTGGTCGACTATCCAAGATAGGGAAACCACCATATGCCACTTATTGCTTCAACGGCACAATACAGAAACGTTTTTTTGATCGCTTGATAACCGAAGATGAAAAATAGGTCCTATATGATAATCCAAAACACAAGATGCAGTGCCTCTCTCTACAAGCATCGTCACGAAGTACTGTTAAGCCAGATTTATACCGCAAAAGTCCCTTTTGTTGCTTGGTGAAATATTTCCAGTGTTGCTGATTTAGAAGTGCTGAAATCTGGACACATTTTGAATGCAGACCTTTATTTTGAACATTTAGATCGTGTAAATCAATCCGTAATTGAAAAGTGGCAAATGGTTATCAACAAAAAAGAAGTTATTCTGCAACACAAAAATGCAATCCTGCAAAAAAGATAATGAATTAGGATGGGAAGTACTACGCATCCACCCTACTCGTCTGATTTTGCACCATCGGATTTTTATTTGTTCCAAAATGCCATTTCTATATATTTTGCTTGGTTGGCTCTATATACCAATTGGTTTTTCTCGACCCTACATTGAAAATTTGAACACAAGATGACAAAACGTTGTTGATGGAGAGGGTGATTCTATCATTCTTCAAAAATAAAAAACTCGTGTGAAATTTATGTGTTTGACTTCAATATAAGAAAACTCCATTACTTTTCGGCTCCCTTAATGTACCTCTCAGTTATAGCTTGATGATTCAAGAAATCAAGAAACATATTAAGTCGGTATTTTAGTTCGATACCTAATTATTAAAATTATATAAAAAATAATTTAATTTAAAAAAAATAGAGAATGGAAATAATCGCACCCATCCAATTACAAAATCGGATTGACAAATAATACAGAATTCTTGAACACTACGGTAAATTTCCGTCTACGAATATTTAAAATTGGTGCAGTAGTCGTGTGCACTTTTCTTCTTTTCTGGAAGAAAAGTCAAGACTCAGATGATGAGCCCAATAGATGGGACGAAATCTACTTGCCAGAAGCCGTCATGTCTAGTGGGAGGCTTGTATAATCAATTCATTAGTATTTACCATAGGCGCAGATTATCCATTTTGATTGGAGAGCGATTGAGCTCCCCTCCCCCCCCAAATATCACGAGATATTATGTATAAAAACTATGAGTGATCAATAACATAAACAACATAATTATTGTAAAACGAATAATACTATATATAAGCAAATGTATGCATTAGTGTTTCCCAAAATCGCTCTTGGTCTCGCACTTTGCCGTATAGACCAATACCACCTAACTGTTTCAAGAAAATAAAATCGGTTTTGTGAATAAAACCTAAGGCAAAACTTGACAATTTTACTTTACTATGTGTAATGAATTGGTATAACCAATATACTTTTGCATTTAACTCTTCCATTTTTTCGTTCGGGCTTAGTTAGGTTTCCCTTATCTGAAAAATTACAGTAATATCTCTATAGTAATAAGCTAATAGGTAACTCCAAGACTGCTGCGAGACTCTTGCGCAAGACAAGGACCAAGATCAACAATGAATGCGTAACATCTAGCATTTGGTCAACACTAGTATGTATATTTTCATATATTAGTGTTGTTTTTTTTTTTTACATACGGGTATATTTCAAAATATATTAATAAAGCAATTGAATATGATCCGTATTTTTATCTTTATTAAAATGTTTGAGGGATCAAGATGATTTCTCAATTCTCCGATGCATCAAATTTGTCGTGGGAAATGTGATCAAATCTTCACTTAAAAATAGAAGGAGGCACATGAATGAATCATAAAATCCTAGGTTATGTTGCTACATATAATTGTACTTATATGTTCTTTGAATATAATCTTTTGAATATAATAATCTTTGAATATAAACTTAAATTTCAATTGAAAAAACATAGGACTTAGTAAAATATTTGTTTACCTACTTCTTGTTTACCTACTGGCCTTAGCTTAGCCATTTAGTCGATTTTTTCTATTGTCTTAATTGATTTTAATTTGTCTTAATTTATTTTGATTTAATTTTTGGCCTGCGAAATATTAGGGGGGAGGGATGCGAAATAATATTCTCGCCCCCTTCATATTTTTATTGGGATGGCTGTGGTCTATCTCGTCCTCTCTTCCCCCGCCCCTACTTCTCCCGCGAAGTCTGTGTCTATGGAAGTAGTACAAAAGATTTTTACTAATTTTACAAAAATATTTTTCCAAACCTCCTGCAATTTTCAGAACTACAAACCGCACAGGTATCCAATGAATATAACAAAGTGGAAATACATTACAACGTGAAAATGTTTTTTAGTTAAAATACTTTACCTTTAATAACCAGCAGTCACTAAGTACACCTTAGTACGAAAATTACTCTAAAAAAAAAATAATTACTACACATTTTATCAACAACCTATGAAGTCAGCAGTAAGGAATGCGGTGATAACAAAATCATTGATGCACAAAAATATCAGATACCATGTGCAACGAACTCAAATGTATTTCTTTAAGATTTATAAAGATAAAATCTTTCATATCTATTTCGCTATTATTGATACATACAGAATATTTAAGAATTCATAAATAGAAAAATTATAAACTTTTTAAATTTTATGATAAATTGCATGCATATAGGAAAAACATAACTAATAATAGCTGAATCAAAATAAGTAAAAAAAAGTAAAAAACCTTTTCCTGTCTTTTCTTGTTATGGATCGCCGCTTTATGAAGTGCTCCTTCAGATGCCATGCGATCGAACTTCTGACTCCTTTCTTTCACACTGATCTTACCGTCTTCTACGTTTTCCTGTCAAGCAAATAAGACACTTTCACTAACAATCCATTAAAACAAAAGTCAACTGAAATTGGAAGGTTGTAAAGGATACAAATAAATTAAAAAAAAAAAACAGTCCAAATATACCTCAACTCGCTAAAAAGGTACCGTACACACAAACGCTTTCATTTTAAAACATTCAGTTTGCCACGTTTAAGCCCCCGATTAAAGTTCCCAATTTTTCTTTTTTTTTTTTTTAATCCTATGGAGGTTCCGAAATTCGAGAGTAGGTCGGAAGGGAGAGATTTCCCCTCGGTATGTGAGGTTTCTGTGTAGGCCCAACAGTCAGCAAACAACAGAGAGTGACGCTCTCGCCCAAGCGAACCAAACTGCTTCGTAATCAACTAACGCGTCGATAGCTGCTTCCGTTCGATAACAGCTTTCAGATCTCGGCATTTCTATTTAGATTGCGATACGGAATTTACAAGGATTTTATCTTTATGCGTTTGTTTATGTTCCATACTATGAAGGGCATCGACGAATGATTAAACAGCTCGGACGTCCTTGGCTAAAATTAAAAACCCATTGCATAATCTCAATAGCCATTAAGAAATCGTCAAAATAGCCGTATTGTTTTATATCTGTTTCCTGATGTTTCACCTTGTTTAACGTGACCGTTAGCCAGATGTGAACTAATTTTGATAATCGAATCGGCTACTGAAAATATGATAATGCCTCAGACGAAACATGAATGATAATATATTACTCATTCGAAAAAAAACAAAAAACAGATAACTTACATCAAAACGATAGTCGTGACATAATAGATTATAAAGAAATATTTGAATGTAAGGTTAGGCCCATTCAGCAACAAAACTTTATATATTTATATGTATATACACATATATATATATATATATATGTATATATATATATATATATATATATATAAGGATAATAATAAAAACACATAAGTTGACCACAAAAGTCCAACTTTATTTCTTTGTCTACACCAACGTTCAGCCCTTAAGCCATTATCAGGGGAAGAAATCTTTAACAAATAAAACAATCATCACAGCCTGATTACACTTGCTCCATAGATTATATTGCAAGTTCAAAGTAGATTATAACTTCAAAGCAGTTTCAAGGCGAATAGGTCAACATTATACAGAAATAATAACTAAAACTAATTTATAAATATATCGATAAGCAAATCAATGAGTTGGTACTTGTTTAGCCACATTTTTAAAAACAATTTATGTTAAATTTTAATTGAAAATTTAAATGTGAAATTTTCAAAAAAACAAAAAAATACGATGATGGCAAGGTTTTTTTTTTACGAAGTTGTTTTTTAAACAACACAATTATTTAACAAAATTAATTTTTTTTTGTTCTTTTCCTTGAAAATGTTATTGTTTTATCTTTCTTACCTTCATAAAGTTTATTGTTAAATTTTGCATTGTGAAATAAATATTGTGTAAGGTCTAAAATGACCCTGAGTAATTGAGAAGCCCCCAATTGTTAAAAATAAATAAATAAATATAAAAGTGTTTTATTGAATTTGTAACCAACAGATTTCATATTTAATTAAATGTTTATTTTTTTCATTTAAGGGATCTACAAGTATTTAGGATCAACTTCCGGCATTAAGAGGTACTTTAAGTCAACTCAATTAGAGTATAGTTTTCCCATTTATAAACAGTTATATTTTAGTAGGGAGGATTCTAAACTTTTTGGCCTGTGGGCCACATTGAAGACACCCTAAAACCCGCGGGCAATAACTTGTGATCTCAAAAAATATTTATGATCAAAAACATTAAAAATCAAACATCGACATTATTGACATATTAGCATAAACACATGTTATTAACATACGTTATTAATGCATTTTCAATAATAGCACTTTAGAACTTCTTATAATTTATTTTTAAAAATAGAAATATCAACATTTTTTTTGTTCATCCAACAATCTTATTATTTATTATTCCAACCAATTTCACCTCTGTGTAGCCTTATAAGGCTAGTCATGGCTGAAGAAGGAATAAATTTAAATTACAAAAGTGTATGTTATTTTAAAATGTTATTCAGTAAAATGGACCTTGATAGCCATTCAAAAATGAAAGGCCTGACTGTTGGGGATCGAAAAGGAGGTAAAATTACGAAAAATGTGATATAATTTTCCATATTTTTACTTAAATTTTTTATATTTGGTAGATTGATTTTTTGGAACTTTTTATTTTCATTGATATATAGAAGAAAATACGTATACCTTGTCTCACTTTTCTTTAAATTCTCCTTAACTTTTAAAATAACGATGATTTTTAAAAGTTCAAAATAGAGATTTATATGTCATGTTGTGAAGTTACTATATTATTTTTTTCATTATTTTATCTTCAGATTTTGAGTAAGAAAACTTTTTTTTATAAATAACTAGTTAGTCCGTGCGAATAATTCGCAGCTAATTTTATTTAGTGGAGAAATAGCAAAACAATGTGGAAATAAATAGTTCCTATGTATTATGTAAGGATGGAATTCATATTTCTCCTTGGTCGATTACAATATGCAATCAAACATAAAAAGCAAAAATATTCCTTTGTTAGGATCTATATTTAAACGCTGACTGTAGAGATAGAAAAAGTAATTAAGACAAAACAATGCCTAGATCAAGGGATTTTTTAAATTATTAAAAATAATATAATGTAAGAACAACCAAATGTCTTTAATAAATAATAAAGTTAATGTATCAGCCAAAAAAAAAGTGTAGTAGACTATTCTAATCCTAATGCAATATCTTTAAAAAGGAATTAAGCATACCAAAACTAATGGACTGTATCTTTGTTAATAATTGCATACTTTTTGAGTTATTCGCAAATAAAGTTTCTTTTCCTTCATAACGTTTTTTTAACGCCACCCTTTATTGTACCTTGGGCAATATTTAATATACTGATATACAATGTTAATTATAATATCAAATATAATTAACATTGAATAATGAATATCACTAAAATAATTTTAAAACAGCGTTTAATAAGACAGATTTAATATAGATTTAATAAGACAGAAATAATAAGACACAATATTGACATATTGGCTGCTTAAAAATGAAACAGGGAATGATAATCCACCACATTTTCCTGATAATATTGGTGGAAGAAAACAAAACTTTTTCTTCTTTTTTACTTCGCACTCATCTAGTCCTTCAAATAACATAATGCACGAAAATGTCTTTGAAATTCAGTCATTGCTACAATTTTTTATCTTCGTCTATGTTGCCAATTTTACAAATCCCTATTTGTTTCGAGTACATTTTGATACATCTGAAAAGATTTCTTCATTCTTAGCAATCGATAATACTATTACAGCCCTCTCAATAACATCTTGAAAAACTGCTTTCATTAGATATTGTATCCAATATACCCAATGTAATACAAGTACTGGGTCGTATCAATCACAAATTACTACTTCAATTTTTTGTTTTTGTTGTTTAGTAATATAACATTCTGATATTAGGATACAAGAAACTAAGCTTGCAAGCTTAATACTAATATTTTAATTCAGTTTCTAGTCCGTAGTATAGACAAGTTTTTATCAAATTATTCATATCCCCCCGGAACTTCATAAAGAACTTTATCTCACTGTAGCCTAAAAATATTATATTTACGAAAGCAATTGGAATCGGGGTGTTTTCAATCTGTAGATCCACAATTTTTTTTAATTTAATTAAATACTAAAAACTCAAGAATACCCTTCTTTTTCCCACTAGAATCGTTAGATAACATGATCACAAAATTGAAGAAAGGTGGTTTACAAAATTATTGGACCGTTTGGTCTAAATAACCTTGTTATTTTGCCATTATGGGGTTGTAGGTCACGCCAAATGGATCAATATTTTTTTAAGTCACCTTTTTATCGTCTTTGTGATCAAATCATCTTACGATTTAAGCGGATAACAGATGGGCATCATGAGTTTTAAGTACCTAATTAAAAAAACAAATTTTGCCGACCTCCAGATTGAAAACTTCCCAATTTCGAGAATTTTCGCAAATAAAATATTTTTAGGCTACGATGAAATGAAGCTATTTATGAAGTTTCAGGCGGATGTTAATAATTTGATAAAAACAAGTCTGTACCACGGTCTATTCAGAAAACGTTTTAAGACCACGTTGTTTTTACCCTTTATTGTTTGATTTGAATTTTTGAAAATTGAAAATTTGATGAAAATAAAACTAAACTAAGATTGTTTTCAAATAAAAATTAAATAAAACAAAAATACATTAAATAGTATAATATAATAAAATTTTAGAGTTGTTTAACAAATAAATAAAACAAATACATTAGTAAAAATGTAATTTGTTTTCATAAAATATACTCTCACGTGGATATATTTAGTAGCTGTCTGTACATGCATTTTTAATAAAAAAAGAATATGTTGTGATTGTTAAAGACTTTAGCTCAGATCATTCACAGTAACAAATATGGACCAATGAAAAAAATAATTTTTTTGTTTTCTTTTCGGGAGAAAGAGGGGGCTCGTTCAGCTTATAGATCCAATAGTGATTTTTCAAGAAGAAACTTTACAAATTCTGTATTTATAGCCATTTTCATGTGTAATACATGTAGGGCGAGAACTTCTTAATAATTACTTTGGATTACGTATCCGAAATTCAACTAGTCATTGCTTACCAGAGGAAATTTCTTATAATTGGCTTATCTATACATGAAAGCTCATTTCTTGGGGCTTTTCCTAACTGATAAGCTAACTTCTTCATGTCATCTCTCCCAAGCCCATAATATACTATAAAAGCCTATAAAAGCCCATATACTATATACTATAAAAGCCCATAAAATACTACGCTTGCAATCAGTAAGTTATCTTTTATAATTTTATAAACTTCTTCTTCCCTCTGAGTCTAAAAAACGGTTGCGCAAAATAAAATGGTTTGTATGTGGGTATGTGAGAAGATCAGTTTTGTTTTTTATTGTAGTACTGAGTTCAAGAAGTTGAAATAAAGGAAGATCCGAAAACAAACAAAAAAAGTGTGTGAAGACTCTAGTACGAAAACGAAAAATCGTACGGAACTGATACTATGTGAATATTTAGAGTAGAGCAACTTTTTCTCCAAAATGGAATAACCAGAAGTAGAACTTTAGATAATCGATACGACAGATGACTCTAACGATGTTGATTAAACTCTTAAATAAAAACAATCTGTAGAAACAACACCAGGAAAACATGATTTCGAAAGCAGGTACTAACAATAAGGTAGTTCGGTCGGTATTTTTGCAAGTTAGCAAAATAAAACCAACATAAAAAAAAAATAAAATGATTAATTCGCAAATGATTAATTGGCAGTGTACTATAGCATGCATAGTACTGCTGACTACAACCGTATTTCTTAAATATTATTTTATTTATTATCATTATATAATTATACTATTTATATTCCAATATAATTTTTAGTGTAAATCTAGCTTTTTATAAATTTTTATTTACGTGAATTAATATGGATTAACTTTTAACTCTCAACAAATTGTAGTATAACTTCATTATCTTCTAGTAATTAAAACTATAAACATTGGTTGCATTTGATTTAAATACAATACTCTGCTGAATTACAGATGCAAGGAAGTATTTTTTTACAATGCTAATTCAGATAATTATGTTAACTGAATTACAAAATATTTATATTCTCAATTATTTTTTTTTCACAATTTTCTTAATACTTAATCAAAACTCATTGAGCCTTCATTTTGAATATTTGTTTCGTCGCTAATATCGCGAAAAATTATATCCCCGGAAAAGGCGGGAAAAATATTAATAAACAAAAAATCATGGGATTAATTAGCTATTTCAAAGATGATTAAATGACAAAAACTAATTATCTAAATCTAATTATTAGCAAAGATACAGCATGCAAGAATTTGTGCAAAGGTTTTGGTTTGTCCTTTTTAATAATAAACGTTTGTAATCAACCATGAAGAACATTTTAACACCTAAACCTAACATATTCCTACGGCGACGGTAGCCAATTAATAACAGTGAAATTAAAGTTAGTAGCCAACTATAACAAATATGCTAAGTATAACAGGAAGAAACAAGAACTATGTACTCAAAGGAAACTTTCTTAATAAAGTTTCTCGAAATTCAGGGAACTTTATACTTCTTAATTAAAAAAATTCTTAAGCAAATAATTTGTTAACAAATAAATGACAAATGAATTGCCTAAGGTATATTTATCAAAATACAATCCATTTATTTACAACAAAATTATTTGGTCAAGCCTTTAATTCAGGAATATGAAACAAACATAAAACCTCAGTTCTGAAGAAATATAACCATACAAAGAAAGGATGGGAATTTATTTTGACTGGAGGAACAAAATATAACAACACATAAACATAAAATAAAAAAACCAAAACATAAACATACAGCCATACATGCAGGTTTTAAACAAAAGTACATTAATTTATATAGAACTTATAACTTACCTCTATAAATATTTTGTGCATCCAACAATAGACAGCAATAAACATAAAGACAGTGTGAATTCAAGAGGTACACACAGACAAGGATATTTAGGTGAAATTTACATTTTAACAAAAGGAATGAAATCTAATATTAAAAGAACAATAGAGAATCGTACCAGACATATCAAATAGAGCTGTCACTACATAGATACTTTAGATGTTCTATAGACCGAAATAAAAATAAAATAAAAACAAGAATTTAAAAATTTTTATATTAAAAAAAATTACATTTAAAAATATTAATTAAATAGAAGTTGGTTCAGTGTTGTCAAAAAAAAAAAAAAAAAAATGATATTTATTTATTTTTAATTTGTTTTTGTTTGTTCCCTGAATACCCCAACCAACTTATCTTCAATTATTAATTACAGTCAACCATCAATTCACTATTAAAAATATTAATATATTTCAAGAATATAAGCTCGGGCGTCTACTCAAAAAATTTTAGTTTTAGTTTTCTAATCAGCGCCGGAAGTATCTTTTTTTTATTCATCATAAGGTCAATCGTCTACACAATAATTAATTTGCAATATATTCCGAATTTATAAATTTATAATTTAAAAAAAATTTAGTAATTAAACATTATCAAGGTATACCTACACTGAAGATTCTCTGAACACGAATGGAAATATTTTTTACTCAATTATTACTGACCAGAACAAGGATTTCAATAGCAGCTTAACGCACACGGACCAAATTGGAAAAATAAAAAAAACACGAGTAAATCGGCCCAGTATAGTTTTAGCGGTTATTGGTTACAAACAAAAATGTTATGTAAACTCTCCCTTTACATAACAGTAGTTATAGATCTTGCTGTGCCAGCGGCTTATGTGCCGGATGTATAACCGGCTAAGGATTCTAGTTGATCGTTTTTGAAGAAGAGGTGGCTATTTGTAATTTAAAAAGCAATTCTTTTTACTAATGAGACCCGCTGGAAAAACTATATAAAACAAAGATTCAACTCCTTGTGAAATCGGCCCGAGCATTTTATACGGACGTACAAAATAAACTAAAAAAACTGAAACAATCCAGAAAAATACTGTAAAACACAAAAAATAACTATTATCACACACATGTATGTTATTACCTTGTTTTCTGAATTAACTTCCTCCAAATGCTGTTGCAGCTTAAGTTCAGAGCTCCTTCTGCGGGGCGGTACAGGCGGTGGATCAGCAGTTGGGGTATCCTGTGGGTAGGATACTGGAGCAGGGGGATCTCTAGGAGTTGCTGGAGGAGTTCGGAAGGGAGACGACTGCATTGCAGGAATATCGACAGGCGTTGTTGGAGGAACAGAAGGAGCCGAGGAACTGATGGGTGTTGATGGGGCACCCAAGAAGGCGGGGGATGGCAAGAAGACGTCTGACAATGGAGTGCCTGGAAGCGATGGAGTCAGTGGAGATGTAAGAGGAGACCTGAACATTAAAAGTAAATAATTGGATGAAATTATATAAAAAATTTCTTATTTTATTGAAAAAAAAATTATCATTAGCAGTTTAATAAAATAACTTAGTCGCATTTAACGAAACTAATGGAAGTAAAAAAAAATTAAGAAACAGTTCATCCTCACTTTACAACTACAACGTACGGCTGATTTTAACACAACTTGGTATTTCTTGTATCTATGGTCTCAATGTAAAACCGCTTAAAAAATCATATCGCCTTTTCTTCTGTCCCATTAATTCCAATGTCATTAATTATGTCTTTACATTTTTTTATGTCTTTTACCCTGTATTTATGTCTTTACCCTGATCGTGAAAATAACATTCAAATGCCCACCTTGATATAAAAAACATAGGAACACTATTAGATACTTATAACAAACTTGAAATCTTTTTTTTATACAACTATAGCTTTACTTTTACACACTTACCGAAATGTTATGGAAGCAAATAGAGAATCCTGAGAAGCCCTCCTGCTCATCTCCGGGTATTCGGTAGTGGGGGACTGGTACACCGGCGTATACTGAAGGTTAAGATCGGTAGGTAAGGTGAGGCTTGGTTCACCACCATTGCGGTATTTTTTACGGAGTACCAGCTGCTTTCCACCCTAGAAATAAATATAAAAACAATCAGAATTCATAAAACAAAAAATGCTGGCAAACTTGGTTACACTGATAGTAGATTAGTAGATAGGGGAAACCCCTATATATTTTTTTAGATAGCTCAGTTTATCTAGATATCCCACAAGAACCGTTTATATTTCACGAAGTACATTAAATATCTTAGCGTTAGAGTGGGCCCTCCCGGACTACTGGATTTCCCAGTTCCTCACTGGGCATGGAGGATTTCGATCTAAACTTCACGGTCTGGGCATTGATGTAGATCCTCTATGCCCAATTTGTAGTGTTCCGGGAACTGTAGAGCACGTGGTCACGATCTGCATCGCATTTGAAACGTTAAGAGCGACTATGGCAAGAGCCGCGGGAATCTATATCCTCACTGAAGATGAGTTTCCTCAGTTAGTCAGCGAGTAAAATTTTCCGCGGTTTAAAGATTTCATATATGGATGGAAGACGGCGGTGGGGGCCGCTCAGTTCCATCTTGGTGCCCGCAGAAGAAGAGGAGAAGCGCCAGAAAGACCTCCAGATTCTGGAAGATAGGCCGAAACAAGAAGAAATAAGAACAGAAGAACTGCACATCATGTTAACTAGTAGTAGTGCGTTATTAAGCATTCATACCTAATAACACACTATCGCAAACACCCGTATTGCCATAGTAGCATGAGAGGGTGGAATAAAGAAATAATATCTTAGCGTTAGATTTAGTAATATATTCATCTCATTGGCTATATCAAGTTCACAGTGTGTAGACGGTAAGGGTTTCCCATTCACACCCAACATTCCCAGCATTTTCTTATTCATCAAACAAATTTACAAGAAACGTTATTCCTGACATATAAAGTAGATGATATGTACGGGAGCGGAGAATTTTTTCATGCTTCTTATATTTGACATATCCAGCGTCTTCACTCCCAACAACTGCGTGAACTATTGTTGAGTGTTAGTAGACGAGTTGTTTCAGCCACAGCTTATTCGATGATCTGGCAATTGTTGTAGCCTCGAAAAATAGGGCTAGATTGAAATATGATGATGAACGGTGCACCAACGAGGGAGAGAGAAGGGTGTGAGACGAAGAATTTAAAGCAGGCCGTCGCTAAGGAACAGGCCATCTTCATGAATCACCGAGAACCCTATAGCTACAGTTTGCTATGATTTAGCATCGAGTCATGTAAAAAATATCTCATGAAGCGGTGCAAGTCTCAGCAGGAGTAGATCTCTCGACCTTCTGCTAAGAGGAATACTTCCGGTATGATTGAGGGAAGAGGCCTGGTTGATCGAAGCACCTTCGAGTGAGAATAGAATATGATCTCAGAGGTTGGGAGAGGTTTCTTCAAGTATACAGTAGAAAACTGGAGCTGGATGGCGACTCTAAAGAGTGATGAGAGGGTATTTTTCCAACCTTGGATCACGACTAGAAGCTACATGGATATCTCAGATGAATGCATCTCAATGATTCTTATAGAACTTGGTCAGAGCTGTACGTAATAATTTTTGGTTTCATTTTTGTCGAAGACATGCTGTATAACAATACTTTACTGACCACTGAAGCAGACAGAATTTTTTGTTCTAACAGGAAGCTATCCTCCTCAGCTAATGAAAAACCAAGGAAAAGTATCCTTCAATCCTTTTAAATACGGGTGAAAGGGAATTATGGGTCAATATCGGCCAATGTAGTATATGTGTAAACCTACGAGGAGAAAGTTCCTCTAGGAAGGAGAGAAGGATTTTCGCACCACAGAGGCCATCAAAAAGAGGAGGGAGAGGAAAACGGCTAATGAAATTAAAATATTGGAGCAAGCTGCAAGGATAATTAAGAGGAGAGCATAAAACATGTAAGCAGTTCCTACGCTCCTAAAGAGATGGTTTCGATAATGAAGCAACAGGGAGATCCTTAGCTCCTTAACTTGGTGGCACTTTTAGCCAAAATTGGTAACGCCCTTCCCAGAAACTCTTTTTAGTTCAACGCCAGCGGATAATCAACTTATATCCATATATTTCGGCTGTACATGCTCAGGTGGCATGCAAGAATAAGACAAGCGACAATCTTGAAGTAAATAGTTCTACAAAATGCTAATTTGTACGTTCATATAGCTTAGATATGGTGTTTGTTGGATACCAAACAACTTATAGAGTATGAAAATCATGTTCCAAAGACATTTAAACTATTTTATATTAAAAACCTGTTAAGCCATATTCGAAAATAGCGGGACAGTAGATAGGAAAAAATATTAAAAATAAATCAATTATTAATAAATAAATTTGTTTCAGATTGTTTGCTAACTTGTTTCAGATATTGATAATTCTGATGAATAGAAACACTATCAACCTTCAAACTATGTTTTATAATCTACGGAACCCGTGAGTTCAATTCATTATAGTGAAGTGATTCATTATACTATTGCTTTTACGTTTATGGAATTATAAAATGGAATAACATGGATAATGGAAAAACATAAAAATAAAATTAAAAAAAAAAAAACGCTGCAGATTATTTCACAATGGTTTATTATTTCCCAACAATTATACATCTAAAGTAACATTACCTTTCTAGTGACAAATTAAAAGAAATAAAAAGTTAATTCCAATTATTTGCCTAAACATTTTTTTTTCATCATTAGTAATTCGCAAAAAAAAAAAAAAAAAATAGCATTACTTCAGTAACATATTCAAAAATCAAAATCCAGGACAAAACATCTAGAGACCATATCTTTGCTCCTAATTGTCCGATTTTATTTTGTTTTTTACTAAATTTCGCAAACTTTTTCAAAAACATATAAAAGTGAATACTTATTAAGTTGATCGGAAAATCGGTATATTCGTTTAGGCGATAGAGTCAATAGCAAGGCAAGTTTTTCGGCCGCCATTTTGAAAATAAAAGGTGGATAGTAATGTCGATGAAGCAGGATCATCCTCGGGTGACCTCCGATTATAAATCATTTTTATAAAAAATTATAAATTATTAAAAAAATTTATTCGTTTTTCGAATTCTACGTATCCTGAAACGTAAAACCTCAAATTTGGAAACGGAGTTAAGTTTTTGATTTTTTTGTTCGATTACAATGGCTCATTATTGAAAATAATAAACCAAAAGGCTATGACGCTGATGATTGCTCTTTGGATGCAATATTTATACTCTTTGCATCTTCACCATACTACCACGTTCACTGATACGAAGTTATTTTTAAGAGTAAAACAAAAAACTTAACGCGGCCTTCATTAATTACCTTTGCCTGATCTTAATAGGATCTCTAATAATAAAAAGATTCCCCACCTATGCTATAAAGATTTATAAAATATAGAATATTTTGGATGACTACCATCAAAAGACATATCGTCATTTTCATTTTCAGATAGGCAGATAGATGGTAAAAGAATCACCATAATAGTACCATGTTGATAAAGTAGATGGTATTTTATCATTTTCTTATTATTACCAAAAATATTGAGCTGCCACGAAAAGGTAGGAAACGATTGGTACTATGACACACATTAAACGGTAATTATTAGTTTCAGGCTCTTTAATTTTGAGGGCACTTCCTACAACCATCTCTTCGATATTCATGATATTGAATAAAAAGGTACGATAATACTTGTGTAGTCTTAAATTAAATCGGCAACTTTAATTTTGTTGGTTTTAAGATTTATAAAACAATGACTAGAAGGGTATTAGTTGCCAAGTAGTATTACTTGGCATGCATGCACGATAAACACACACACACACACATATATATATATATATATATATATATATATATATATATATATATATATATATATATAAATCGGTATTTAGATTTTGTAGATTACTGGTTTTAATTTTGGTCCGTGATTCGAGCCGCTGTCCTGCCCCCGTTCGGACACTCAGCCATTTCGACCACCCTACCTATGCGACGTCCCGGAATAAACGTGATCTCAATTAAATTACATCTTCAGATATTATACTCTTGATTTATTAAACAAAAGTTGGGAAATATAACCTATTTATTTATTTATGGTATTATCTCCCTCTCCCAAGAAAAAAACAAAAAAAAAATAGCCAAACCTGTCCATAGTAGTGGACAGGTTCATGGACAGACATCTTGGTCTTGCAAAGTGCAAGACCAAGACCGATTTTGGGCATCACTACTATGGACAGGTTTGGCTGTTTTTTTTAAATTTTTTCTTGAGAGAGGATGATAATACCATAAATAAATAAATAGGTTAAATTTTCCAACTTTTGTTTAAGATATCAAGTGCATAATATCTGAAGATGCAATTTAATTGAGATCACGTTTATTCCGGGATGTCACATAGGTAGGATGGTCGAAATGGCTGAGTGTCCGAACGGGGGCAGGACAGCGGCTCGAATCACGGACCAAAATTAAAACCAGTAATATACAAAATCTGAATACTGATTTATATATATGTGTGTGCGTGTGCGTGTGTGCTTGCCAAGGCTTAACTAATAGCCTTCTAATCATTGTTTTATAAACCGGCTCACTGTTGCAAGACCAAGCCCAAGACAGCCTAACTATAGCGAAACCAAGACCAAGACTGGTAAAAAACAATCGGTTTTTTGAATAAAAATTAAGGCAAATATTTACCAAAACTTGACAATTTTAGTTACTACCTGTACAAACTTGGTATAATCAATATACTTGTGCATTTAACTGTTTCAATTTTTCATTGGTTTTCCTCATCTAAAAATTTACAGTAATACCTTTATAGTAAAAAGATAATAGGTAACTGCAAGACTGTTGTGAGAATCTTTCCCAAGAACAAGACTCAATCCGTAAGACTAAGACTCGTTTTGGTCTCACATTTGGCCAAAACTAGTCCATAAGTTTAGGTTCGAAAAGTTCAACTTACTTAAAAATAATTTGGTTGTCTCTTAAAATGGCTAAATAAACAGACAACCTACAATTAGTACAGCAAGAGAAGACGCCGTATCGTAAGTAGACAGTAACGATGTAAGAATGCCCGACAGGTAACTGGATAGCATGTACAA